AAGAAATATGAGTTGCGAAAATCATTCTGAGAATCATTGTGGAAATACTCGAACGCAATTTTTTAAATGATTACACTATAGAAATACAAATATTTATCGTTTACATTAAATTAAATAATAGATTAAAATAGACTAAAAATGATAAAATGACAAGAAAATTAACCAACTTTTTATACATTCATTATATTAGAATTGTCATTTTTATTAATAGATAACATCTACGCTGGACAACCTGCCGGTCACGCAGATGGACGTTCAATTACAAAACAGCAATCTTTCTGGAAATGGTTCGACAAATGGATCCATAAACAGTAACAAATTTAGTCCAAATGGACACAACGAAGAGATCAGTATAGGAAGTGCTGGCAGTTTGGCACGCAGGCAAAGTTCGTGGGACGAGGATCTGCTTTCAGGCAAGTTGAACAAACTTTACACAAAGTATAATGGAAATATTATTATATAACACAATGTTCTCTGCATAGATAATTTATGTTCTGTAAGAAGCGACGTGATGATCTATTATCCTCCTTTGTTCTTGCTACGTCTTGTCTGCAAGAACGGGATATCACATTGTTAAATTTATCTGTGAACAGAAAGTGAAGAAACAGACGAGGAATGGACACCTTTGCAGAGATTTTTAGTCGCCAATAATCTCACGTCCATACAATCTATCCTGGAATCAGAGCAAATCGATCTGGAGGCTCTAATGCTGCTCACCGAAACTGATATAGCAGCCCTCAAACTTCCACTCGGTCCTAGACGGAAACTCACGAATGCAATCGCAAACCGGAAAAAAGCACTGAGCATGCCGGAGAGCATTATCAAGGACAGTAGACTATAAGCAAAGAGTATGTTTCATTAGCCATAAAGAATATTACTTCCGTCGATGAAATTATCCGTCCATATACTAATGTATAACAAGTAGTTATTAATTGATTTATGCAAAAATAAAAATTTTGAAATTCTAAATATGGAATATTAAAAAATTTTGTGAAAATTTATCGAACTAATCATATAAAAAAACATTTAAAAAAAGAAAAAAAATTAAAAATTATTCAATTATACAATTACTTGAATCATACATTGGTAGCGCTATTATATATTTAGCAGTATATCTGTATAATTTTTATCACATATCAGGATAATCTTAATATCGAAGTCTTTTGTGTCTTGTAGTTTTTATAGTTTATTTACTATCAACATATATTTTTCTCCATCAATACCATATAAGATACTAAATTTAAATAATCTTATTGGAGACTAAATTACATATGATTATAATAATCATAAATTATCGTCAAAAAATATTGAAAATCAGGAAAAGAAAAAAAGAGAGCTAAGCACTTGATCACTAAATAAGAATAGAATACAGTTTATGCCATAATAGAAAGGAAACAAAAATTCAACATATACTGCCATAAAATGTAATGCCAATGATGTTGCTAATACTCAACATCAGCTTTACATATACTCTAGATTTACATACTACATCATTATATATGAAATCTTAAATATTTACAATAATTAATTAAACATTAATTATTTGTATTAAATCATTTACGAAAAAATCAGACATTAGAATATTTTAGATATTACTGACGAACTTTATACTGTGTATAATCAAGACTTACACTTTCTATCATTTATGTGTGAAGCGCAATTATTAAAAAAAAAAGTAAGCAACAATAACAATAGATGATAAATATTGATTATCTTTCAAATAATCTGATGATCTATTGAATGACAGTAATTGTGTAGTAAAATTTGATTTTTATAATCATATCTCAAATATAAACGAAAGAGTATTGATAATTACTAAGATATAAATTAGATTACAGTATTATACATATTAACTTCGTAACATCATGTATGATGCGTATTATATCCACAAATAGCACAAGATGTACAAAATGTACACCTTGTTGTACAAAATAAATGTATAACAATAAAAATGTACAAAATGAATATATAACAATAAAGTATGTATATATGCAAACATGATAGTCACTATTCACATAAACAGAAAAAAATATATCATAATCATAACGTGGGCAAGAAAACGACCACGAGGAGTTTCTTTCTCTCGTGATTTATTTGTAAATGATTATCTTACAAACAAGAGGCGCAAAAATATACAAGCTTCTTATGTTCGCAAGAAAGTAACAGCACCATTTCACGCCTTGTTATGAACACATGTATTCATGTTTGATCAAGACGTTATATTCGTGCAAGTCTCATGTACACTCATTCTCGCAAAAGTGCACCAATGCAACTTGCAGTAATGTGCATCGGAATAATAAAAGAAGCAAAGAAGAATAGACTCGTAAATTTTTTGGTGCCTTACGTTCGTCAAACGTATGTTTATACGTTTCTACGCGTCATGAATGTACGAAATACAATATAATTGTGAATAATATAATACACGAAGTGATTCCTCCTCACTCTCTTCATCTCCGGTTTTTAGCTTATGAATATACTATTACATCGGGGGAGAAGAGGTTTTGTATATTGATTTCGTTATATTCTCAAGTATATGTATTTTGTGTTTCTTAGAGACATCTATTAAACGCGTGTCTCTTCATCATTATATTATTATACATTTACATATTTTCGTATAAATATATCGTTATACTCATAAACATAAAAAGATATTTTTTTCGCATTTTGACATAAATATCTCTTATATCAAGTTGGCTTAACACAATTCCGTACAAACTTCGTTTGTCGAAACTATCGAATTTTATTAAATTATAATTTTATATTAAATATATCAAAAACCGATTTTTAACAAACAATTTTTAAAATATAATTTTTCAGAATTACATAACACGTATTTGTTTCTTGTATCTAAATTTCATTATAGCTTAATCAACAAAACCATTTTAATTTCAAATTTGCTCGACGCATTGTATCTGTAGATATATTATCTTATAATGGCCCACAGATTTCCGACGAGATAATTCTTCCATGAGAAAGGGAAAGCTCCTCACATGTGGGAAAATTTTTTCGCTGATCTCAAAGTGTCGTCTCGTACGCGCTGGTGGTTTATTACGCAAGATGGGAAAATGCCAATTACATCGATGAAATCCATTAATGTTCGAGTCATCTACTCGCTAATGAAAAAAGGAGTATATAATTATCATCGATCTCAATTTGTAAGTAATTCTCGGAAGTAAAGAGAGTAAGAAGCTATAAGTAAATAAAAGAATAATTCTCTACCGTATCCTCCACTGGTATTCGTAAATATGACTTGAGAAAATAACTCTCGACAGTATATATTTTTTTCCAAATAAATATTAACCGATCAAGAACAGATGTTTTAATTATGCAATTAAGTATCACGAATACATGGAACGGAAACGAAAACAGATCGGTGCGTTTGTAGAGTTGCTTCGACATCACTTCGTCGAATTTGGTGTGCTCGCTTATGGATAAAGTGTACCTAAGTATGGCATCTTCACATACAATATATACCTAAGTAATGTATTACTTTCTTCTATCATAGAGTTACGAAAAGAACGACATTTACACAGAAAATGTTTTCAACAACTGAAATCAGATGGAAGGAAGAAACGTCTTAAGAACAATGCAAACGTACAAATTTTTCAATTGGTCTTTTTACATTATCGTGAAAGCAATACCTTCCTTCCATCATCTGCATGTACAATAGACATGTAAATGGCTCGTTCGCAAAAAAATAAATTCTCCACGGTTGCTGTATGTTCTCACTGACGCGAAATTGACGCATCGTCAACCTCGTCCAGAAAAATGTAATTGAGGGTAAAGCCCTCGACATTTTATTAACTGCCGATCGCACGATATCATTGATAAATATCATTGTTAAAGCTATCGCATAGTAGTTAATACTAGTAATGATATTAATTATTAGCAATATATCTATGTTTATCATAATTAGCATATGCTATATTTACAACTGAACAATTTTTGCTCCTTTTATGTGAATGACGCTCGAATAATCTTACGAAGAAACGAAATCGGGATCGACTCCAATGTAATTTTCAGAGAACGATGACTATTACAGACAGATTAAGCGATAAAAGTAAATTTTGTATTTATAAATCAAATCATAACGAATTCATTAACGCGAATAGCAATTCTATTGATTGGTTTGCAGTCAAGGCTCCTGTTTTCTTATTGCAACCATATTTAATTATATCATCAGAAATGAGAAATCACATGTGAATCTTTTTATGGAATGCGTCTAAATTAATTAGCTTCTTCTTGCATATATATGCGTTCAAAAAAATATGGACTGATAAAACAAAAATTTTTCTATTATTGATAAATGCATGTATAACTCATCTGCATGTGTCCTTCACATACATTTCTAATGAGAAACTTTTGACTTAATTAGATTTAATTAGTTAAGATTTAGAACTATTTATTAATCTGCAAAACAGAAAAAATATATTTTTAATATATCTTTAACATATTTTATCAATATATCTTTAATATATTTTATCAATTTATATTATCAGACGCGATGGCATACCAAAAAAGTAATTTATTTTGATATTTTTCATAAAAAAAATTATATGATTAATATATATTATTTCTCATTTCAGATGTCATATAATTTAATAATGGACCAGCAGCTTTAAAATTGATGCACATTATACGACATATCACGATACGGCACAACATAGTATAGCATGACACAATACGACAAAAATATTTTTTTTTCTTTTTTGTGACGTATATAAACATATGCGTTAAATCGGCAATAATATTTAAAGATAAAGACAGAGAGAACATGACGTTTTGGATATCAATTGAAGAGAATATTTTGTCGTATCACGTATCATTGCCTAATAATGTAAATGACTTCAGACACGATAATTTAAGTACGAAAATGGTAGGCTCTTTGCTTTTATATAAAAAAATCTGAGAAATATGTGTAATTTTATGTTGTGGTTTTCTATTAAAGCTTCTTCGATGATTGAATATTGTTTTGTGAGATCACACACATATAATTTTAAAGTAAAATAGTAATGTAAATTGTTAATTCTGAGAAATATTTATAAAATTTTATTTCATCATTTGTTTAGTAATTCAAAAATAATAAATAATAAATAATATGATATTGGAAATTTTAAAACTTTTCTTCTTTTTAACATCTGATGAACCCCAAAATCGATGTTGTTTTGATCTTTCTTTCTCTTCTTCATTCAATAAAGAATCACATAAGATCAAATCTCTTTTATGACCAAAGTTTATTTTTAAACATTTTTAACCAATTTTATTTTCTAAATTAAAATCAAAATAAAAATTACTATTGTCATGTCTCTTATATATGGTATGTGTGAATACATGACAGTTTTTGTCGTGTAATTGTCGTATAATGTAAATCGATTTTTAAAAATCTGTGAGAATACATGAAAGCAATATGAGATATATTAGCTAGAAATAATGTACATTTACAATCAACCGCTTTCATATTGGGCATATGTGTGGGGCTCTCACTCTCTGGCACAAAACATTAAACGCACAATCGTTAAGCGTTCTTTTTTTTGTTTAATAAAATACACTGCTATATATCTATATACATGTATACATATATTGGAACCATTATCTTATTTATCCTAACAAAGTCTACGTATATATAAGTTTTTATTGAGTGAACACGTCCTTATGGAGCTATGGAGTGTTAAATCTATTGTTTATATTAACGTAGACTTTGTTTGAGATGTAAAAAGCTTGGTATCTTTTTGACGATCTCTTCTTTTTTCAACAAAGAAAATAAATCAAATTTATACTATCGCATCACTTTTTCCTCGCTATATTGATATTGATTTATTATAATAGATCAGTTACACATGCCTACCGTCTTTTATTTTGCCCCCTCCATCTTGCTTGTCATATTTGAAATACTTATATTAGAAATTTGGTTTATCATAATCAAGACTCCCTCTTTTCTCTCAGTGAGATCTCTTTAAGAGATATTATCGATTATATTTTCGTTATATTCATAACTAGCGCTTTTCATATAGAGTTGAGAAATGAATGTTTTATTAAATATTTTTAATATTCTATATTTCTCTCTGGAAATATCAATACTATAATCTTGTAATTTTGACTTCATAATCATTTCAATAACATAAGAGTCTGACCACAAATTGAAACCAAAAAATCGGGCAATGATAATTTCCATCCATGATAATGCACTTGATGAAATGAGAGCATAGTGTAGAAAAAAATGCAAAGAATTTATAAATAAATGAACAGCAAACAAAAAAAAGATGGTATGTATATATATTACTTGTATTATATATATAAATAATAGAGGCTCAAATTTACTATACATTCAGAAATACTTCAATATGAGAATAGATTAATCAATTTTGATAATTGTTAAACAAAACTTGAAATGTAACAAGAATCGAAAGTTTTGTGTATATGAATCATACTATTATAATTTGTTATTATCTAAAATCAATATTATATAATGAGCAACTTAAAAACATGTTCAAGGCCCCTATTTTACCACTATAGCCACATTAAATCATGATTTTAGAAACAAAAAACATGAATTTATTAAAAAAAAATAAAATCTTTTTTCTTGCATATGTCAAAATAAATTAATTTTTTGTATACCACCACTTATATTCAATAAAATATTAATGAAATATTATTATTACTAAAAACTACTATTTTATATTTATTATATATATATACTATTCTACTAATAGTAGAATATTATACTATAATCACTATTCTCTCTATTACTGTAAAAACTATTTTTTTTATTAGTAAATATATATATATTGTATATAACTCATCTGTGTTTTACATTCTCAACGAAAATATATCTTATGATTAGCCAAGATTTATGGCTATTTTTATTAATCCACGAATCGAAAAGCCTTCAATATATTTTACCAATCTATAGCAAGTGCGAGTGGTAACATACAAAAAATTAATCTATTTCAGTGTAGTCAAAGAAAAAAAATTGCATGATTTTTCATTGCTGACATCACAATTCAATATAACATCAGTGAAAAAACTAGGAACTTTAATGCAAAAACAAATATTTTACAATAATATCTTTTCCCTTTTTTATTTTGCCATAAATTGTGCTTATTAATTCTGAAATAGCATAAAAATATTCTTTGTTTCATTAAAAATTTCGACTGTTTATAAGAAGGCAACAAAATTGATTGACAAATATCAAGATACTTATTATTCACTGCAAATTTGAATATACATATCAATATATGTATAAATTTAATTTATATAGATTTAACATTTCAATTAGCGTCACACATTTGCTCGTAATTCTTCTATTAGATTGATTTACAGATCAATAATATGATGATTCTGATGATACAAACTTTTGCACATGAAAAGTTGAACTAATCATCATGCATGGGCATTTTAAATAATATTAAGTCGTAACATAATATTTTATACATAACAGTTTATGCGCTCTCGTTTCTGTGATTTTATATACACAAAGACAAAAAATACATATATATAATATATAGTTTCTAAATTTTGATAAAATCTAATATAATTGAAAATAAAAACGTTTGGCATGTGTGTAAACTATTATTTTGCCAATATATTGCCAAAATAAACATCCCACAAATATATACTATATATACATATATATATATAGCTTGGGTCTCTATATTTAAATTATTTTAAATTATATGCGTCGGTCAGAACTAACTGTACAAATATAGCTTTAAGAAGTTAAATAATTTTGAACGTGATATAAATCGAGATCGGCAGCAGAAGCTACTGGAGATACATACAAATGTACTTACCTGGCAGTGTGAACCACTACCGGTTTCCTCCAATGATTAACATATAACCGGGAGTTATGTAGAGGAGAGTTGAGTTATTAGTCATTAGTCGGGTCGATTAATCAACAGGGAGCGAGGGAGTAAAGCTACCATATGTATCGCGCGCCGTTACAGTGTAGTACGCGTACGTTTGTGCGTGGGTGATCCCATATCTACGTCATGCGAAGCGGGTCGTTTATGATGCCGAGCCAATTCGTTGTTAATAAAAGCCGACAATTCGGCTTGTCTTCCGCTACGTCGAGATACTGGAGAACCTGGAAAGATACAATGTTTCGCAAAATTTCATTGTAGGTATATTGTTTTATGTAAATCTGTTCTATATTTAATTAAATGTGATTGTATCTTAATTGTTAATTCTATACACACATTTCAATATAAATATTATAGAAAAAATTAAATAAATATATTGCAATTTTAAAATAAATAATATAACCATTAAATGTAGAAAAGTTTATAAGATGTGTAATTATTTAAAATTAAATTAAAAGATAGAAAATAATATACCAGATAATGCAATGGCTTCCCTAAAAGTATGTAACTCAGGGTCTGGATCACTGCCTGTTGGTAGTGTTGGAGCAATAACCATACTTGGCGTTTGACTATGCGACGATGGAGAACCGCACACCATCATACGAGGCTTAGGTGAACTTCTGTAACATTGCGTCATATTGGTTTAAAAAGCAATCACATTATTCATTTACTTGTTAATTTAATAAAATAGTGTCAATATGGACAATAGTCCAATTTAATAATACATTAAAAATAAACTATAGAGAAGACAAACCTATGTGGATGCGGTCGAGGTGGTGGTGGCTTGCCAGCAAGATACGCAAGAAGATCTTCCCTGCGTATCATACGTCTTTTTTTTCTAGCCCAATTCATTATTTCTTTACAATGTTTTTGTTTTCCCATTTCCACTCCTAGATCACTGCATCGCCTCATACAATCCACTGAATCTGTTTAAACAATTTTTTGTTAATTACAGACACATATAAATAAGTCTTACACAATATATTTCTGAAACAAGTGATCAAACTTCAATAGCATATTCTGCTTACAAGAATAAAAAGAGTGGTGTGATATGAACATGAATGCAAAAACGCTATTATACAGCGATTTTTTTATTATACATCCACTATATATGAAAAGGTATAATAATAGTTTGCCAAAAACATATATACAAGTATAACTGATATAAGATGCATTACAGTGACTTGTTGAAAATCTTTATATGTAGATATTGCAATGTATGATTAATAATTACATTGCTAAACAAACCTAAAAATAATTTCTTAAACGAATTAATAATGTATGCAAATAAATTAACTTTGCATATATAATGTGATAAAATTATATATATATATATTTCAATTCTACATATATAATAAAACCTCTTAAAATAAAAAAGTACATAAGCGTTCTTTAATTTCTCGGTATCATATTAATCATAAAATTGCGTTTATTGTTCACAATTAGTAACAGCTGACCCTGAGCGCGGCCAGCCATTACAGGTACTTATTTGCGGCTTGATAAATGACGGTCATATTTCAAGTATAAGTCATATTTCAACAAAAACGAGAAAATACAAACGAACGAAGATTAAACATAAAAAATATAACGCTTTAAAGCGCTACGGCACGAGAAAATGAGATGGCGGAAGGGAAGGTGAAAACGGAGAAAGGAGGGATGGCCATGCGTTTATCTAGGGGTCATTGTTGACAAAGGTGATCATAAAACTGAGGGGCACGCACCTTTGTATAACGATGTTACAGTACCAGCGGCGGTCTGAAAGGGCACCCATAATGAGACGCCCAGCGTGCGGTCTGTAAAATGGTAATTAAAGGTTTAAAGGTATATTCCTGGATCGATATCCGTATAAAACGGGCCTGTTAAAAGCTGCGAGAACGAAACGTTGTAAGATCGCCATGCGTAAAGGATCGTTCTTGTAACCTTCGCGACGAGACGGACGTGACGCGAGACGATAACCACGCGTTTACAGCGACTGGTCGTCATCGAATGATTCAGGCACTCCATCGCGCATTTCAAGATAGAGGAGGAAATCGGGAAATACATACATCATTGCGAACGTAGAATCACCTTTGTACAATTGGGCGATGGCCGACGCGGTGGTTTGGAATTTCGTCCACATCTGCTGCGAGTAGAGCTCCTTCTCATTGTGCAGCTGATTCTCGTAATCGGGCTCGGACTCGAGAGCCTCGACGCACTGCTGTTCCCAATTGCTGTACCAGAGGTCCATTATCGGATCATCCTCGCTCCTGTCGTCGCTCATCGCTGCCGATCGCGCGATCGACGCACCACCGCTCACTCGCTACTTCAATGCACTCACTTACGCACGTACACGCAACACATACGCACGCGCGCGCGCGCGCACACACACGTGCACTACTCACACGAGTCGCACGCGCGCGAGAGTGATCCTCGCCGTGTGCAGGAGACGGGAGAACCAGAGCGCGCGAGAACACGCCTCGCCTACCTAGAAGTTCTATCACACGCACGTATGTACACTCGTAGATGTATATATGTATGCAAGAACCGACTATTGCACCGTTTTACGATAGAACGAATGAGCGATTAAGGCTTCGGTGACGACAACGACAACGATAACGATAACGACGACACAGTGGCGTTAATCGCGTTTCACTCTTTCACAGTCCATCTAGTTTATATAGTTTATTATACACAGTTCTCTCTCTTTTCGTTTACACTCGTTCTTGCCTTCGTGTTGCTTCACGTAACATGACAAACACGCGTGCCTTCTGCCTAGAAAAGTCAAGTCGCAGCCATTACAATTACGCTTTGCTCTAGCAGTTCAATCACGAGGAATCTGCACAATCAGTCTCAATCACGCATATTTGATACTGTTCGATACGAAATCCAGATTGATAACTTTCCACGGAAAGTGACGAACGAATGACAAGCGTCCTACTTGGAGAAAATCTGTTCTATGGTAAGCGAAGACCCTAGCTCCCTCTGCAGCGTATCAACAGAAGGGGCATACAGGATTGTGAATCGCGCATTCTTGCTCTTTGTATGCACACTCACTAATTATTGTTATAATTTCTTGCTTGGATTTCCGTCTATCGGAAATATCATATAATTAAAGGTCGGCAGGAGTGACGGCCAAACTCCGAATTGATATTGGAGACCTCGCGCGGTGACAAATGCGAAACTCCGACTTCAGGGTTACCAACTTCAGAAATAAATTCTCGATCTTTATGTAGACAGAGAGAAGACTGAGGCCCGTATTCATAGTCTGCTCTTATCTCAAGACCGTCTTAAGTAATGTCTTAAGATGCTAATACGGCTCTGTGATTGATTTAGGACATCTTAAGATTGTGCTTAAAGCCCGAATCACACTAGCGGCTCGCGGCTGCGTTTGTGATTTGCTACGCTCCAATCATACTTGCAATTGGTGTGAAACACGAGCGTCCCCATATAACCCTCCTCCGTATAGGGGTACGTTCGAAAATCCTACAAATCAACCAATCACAATTAAACCTTGTTAAGTTTGTTAGAATACTTGATTGTGATTGGTCGATTTGCTTACGGCCTTATAATAAACTTTTTCACATGCAATGGCCTTTGAGTAGCATTTAATTGACCAAGCAAGATAAAAGTATCTTTGCTCCTTTTGTCCTGATTGATTAATTAAATGCTAATTAAAGAACAAAGATATCATCCAAGATTTATTCTCTCTCTCAAATCACTTTATCTTTTATTTATCTTTATTGTATGGAGTTGATATGAATTGTCTATTTCCCTCTATAAGATACACTAAACTTAATTCATTCGGTATGTATGATAAAATTCAGTACGCTAATATTGCAAGATAGAAGGGTTCTTACAGGTAGAATTTTTGTAAGCATGATTATACATAAATACATCATGTGTAATCATAACAGGTTTATAAAGCATACTGAATTAATTTACAAAAAATTATTTTTTTGTCGCTATTTGTAAACTTATCAACGGATTTGACGCGCGAGCTTGATGTCTTGATTTGACAGCCGTTGCTCCCGATGATGCAGCATCTCTATCAAATTTTCTTTTTCTTTTCCCTATTCCCATGATACCTTTTAAAGTTGGTGGTACTATATATTCAGGTACATCTTTTAAATGTGGCTGTAGTTTCACAGTATGTAATGCCTTGTCTTGGCGCAATGATTGCAGATCTCGCGGATTATCTTCGAAATAACTTTTCAACTTTTCACAATTTACAACTTCCTGTCTAATTTCTTTTAATCGTGCCTCTCGGACAGCAATTCTTGTAACAGCTTTCCAACCATCTTTTGCACGATAACTGAAATTATAATTTTACAGAATGAAATAAATTCGCATAAAAAAACATAATGTTATGTGAGATAAAAAAATGAAACAAATAACAATAAGAATAAAAGTGTGTTTGTACTGTTTTACAATTCAATTATAACGACGTGTTATATATATAAGAACTGGGCAGTACATACCGGAAGCCTTCCACTTCCTCCAATTTAAATTGATAAGTCTTAAATAGATTTTCGCAATTGTATATGCACTTTAAGTGCTCTTCTACTTTCTCCATCAGCGGTCTTTCTCTGATCGCTACAAAACTAAGGGCAGTTCCTTGATTCTTTCCACGAGCAGTGCGTCCTGCTCTGTGTATGTAAGAATTTATATCCAATGGATAGTCAAAATTGATTACATTGGACACAAACTGGAAGTCGATGCCGCGCGCTACACCCGATTCTTTGTCTTTCCTTCGTTTATCCTTTTTCGTTTTTATTATATGTGGCTGTAAAAAATGAAAATAATGATATATATAATATAAATTTAATTACAACATATATATTTTTTTACCTCTTCTAATGCCTTCTCATCTGATGCTATTATGATGTCGTAAGTGCCACTATTGAATTGCGAGACTGCTCTACATCTCGAAGTCGCCGGTAACTCGGAATTTAAGACACAAGTGGGAATACCAAATTGTTCTAGGAACAACTTCAATTTATAACATCTATCAACTGTATTTACAAAGATTATGGTTTTTCCCCTAATAATAAGAAATAATTTATTTACAAATGAAAAATATTTTCTATTAGAAAGAATTATGGAGCTCTAATATTATCTAAAACTTCAAAATTAGTTGCATTTTTCAAGTGGTTTTCGAATGTCACACTTTTCTATCGCTCGCATTTTTGAAACACATAAATATGTGAAAAAGCTTTAAAAATAACAGATGAGATAAAGCATCTTAGCTACAAGTATCAAGTAACTGTACTCAAAAGTATGAGTAATAAAAAGACAATAGGTATAAGATTTTTAAATTATCTCAAAAATACAACCAATTTTTAAAATATTGCGTTAAGATATACTACCTAATTAAATGTAACTTCAGCAAAGCATATAAAATAGCAGCCTTATCAGTTTCCTCTGCAGCCAAAATATAATGAGCTAATTGGGTTGGAGGAGCCAAAGGTGGCTCCTCTAGTTTTAAAATTGCCGGATTGTGTAGAACTAATTTTTTCAAGGCTTTGACATCCTCAGATAATGTAGCAGATGCTAAAATTGCTTGGTATGCTGTTGGTAGATAAGTTAATACTGCTTTAATTTCATTTTCATATCCAAATGAAAAGAGCTGAAATAATTAATGGCATAGTTTAAGCATCATTAAATGATTCTACTTACATAATAGAACAATTTAATTTATGATATTATTTATATTATAAGTATGTACCAGATCAGCTTCATCGATTATTAATGTTTCTAGGCTATGTTTCAGCATCAAATTTCCTGCTTTTAGATGCTGCAATAACCGACCAGGTGTAACCACTATAATATCTGGCATTTCATTGAGTAATGGTTTCTGTGCATTTAAATCTGTTTGTGGACTAATGTCAATTACTCTGATTTCTCTATAGCATTTTATAGTCAGGCACATGATGACATTGTAAATTTGCTTGCACAGTTCCTTACTAGGTGCAACAATAAGACCCTTAATCTGCTGTTTCTTTTGTGTTCGCTTATTTACTAATATTTTCTGGATAAGTGGTACTGCAAATGCAGCAGTTTTGCCTGAACCTGTACGTGCTCTAATTAAGACATCCTTTCCTTCAAGTATCAGAGGTATTGTTTTTTCTTGTATTAATGTGGGCTCTGTCCAACTCAGTTTTGCAATAGCCTAAAAAATTTTTTTATTTCTTAGCATATTCTTCAAATTATTCTTTAAATTATTCAAATTACCTTCAATAGCCTGTCGTCTAATTCCAATTCGTGAAAATTTTTCGGTTTTACTTCGTCTTCTTCGTCTAATTCATTTATAGACATATCCATGGTGTAAGTAACAAGGTGTGCTATCTTCTCGGACAAATTTCGTCACATTCTGCGCAGCACCAAGTTTCTGCCATCTTGCAAAATCACCATAGCAACCGATAAGCAACGCGACGATAAATGGCCGCGTTCAGCAGAGAAAACCGCTTAGTAGCAATCGAATGTGATTGGTTCTTACTTTTAGAACCAACGAATCAACGTCGAGTGTTGACAAGACGATAACTGAGTGCTTTCTCTGCTGAACGCGGCCAGTGCAAAGAAATCTTTGTCCCTTTCGTCCTAATTGGTCAATCAAACGATTCAACTTTTGTAGCATCAAACGGAACGCTTATGTGTAATAAGAAAAGAAGTAAGACATGTAAAGGCCATCACACACAAAATTCCGGAAGGACGTAAGACGTAAGCGTAAGAAAATGGACCAATCCCAATCGAGTATTTGGCTCTCCATAACCCCTCCACTTTTACGGAAAGCCCAATACTCAATTGGGATTGGTCCATTTTCTTACGCTTACGTCTTACTTCCTTACGGAATTTTGTATGTGATGGCCTTAATCATGTGAAATGTGAATCATGCAAATGAGAAAGCGATATGAAGATAGTGGTCAGAAGTATTGTAAAGTGCTATAAGCAATAGGAAATCGGAGATTAACTAATATAGAGGAAAGCAAACTATAATTAGAATAAGTTACTATTTTAATTTCATAACTCGTACACTTTTTTAAACATACCATAAGCTATTATTTATCATATAGCAAACTACAGATAATGTTTACATTTTTGTTTCTTAAATCCCAGATAGATGAAAATTATAATAAAAATGACTAAAATATTATTTGTGACATGAAATGTCACTTTGATACGAGGTAACTGGAGTAGGAATATATTTTTGGTTTAACTTGCTACTTAATACTGGTATAGGCAATGGATGGATGTGTGGTTTAGCAGGAAATCTAGTACCAGCGATATCAATTTCATAATGGGCTGTTGGATTCATTATAAAGTCTTTTGTAATAACATGTCTCTCTTGCTTAGATCTTGCTCCAGGGAGACTAATGAATCCAAGGCAAATGAGTTTCTCTGTTAGAAAACCATAGCTGAAAGAATAATAGTAAGTATAATAATGTGCCAATGAGGAGGTAATGTGAAATAAACAAGTGATAACGTAATAATGCAATGTTTAATGAAAAAGACAGATATTTACCCAGCTGATGTAACAGTACCAACAAATTCACCATTTCGATATAGTGGTTCACCACCCCATGCCCAAACATCTTTATTCAAATCCATACCATCAAGAACAAATAAAACTAATCGCTTTGTCACTCCCTGCATCTTTTGACGTTGTAAAGCAGATTTTCCAATAAAATAGTCTGGTTTCTGTACAGCATAATTATGAAATATTTAATACTAAACCCTATCTAAGCTATTTTATTTTAACTTGGCTATCTTTAATCTATTTTTCATTTCAGTATAATTATATTGTTTCTATATTTTAATCTTTTCTTTTTTTAGCAATTTTCTATTTTTCGATTTTGTATAATATAAAAAAAGAAAAAGAAACGACTACGTTTTATTAAACTAGAAGCATTCGTTTTATCTTCAAATGTATAAATGTACACAGAGAATACATGTAGTTTTTGATACTAACATTCAGTTTTACTCTGTAGCCATTTCCAGCTTCATATGGAGTCACATATGGTGTCAATTCTTCAGCCCAGAATGGAATAAATCTCTCTATCCTCATAAAACGTTGCGTAAGAACGCCAACGTCTCTTGCACCATAATCCTTTCCTATAGCCATTAAGGTTGAATAAATATGTAGCGCATATTCCGAAGGTATGTAGAGACAATAGCCAGGTTCACCCGTATGTGTAAATGCCATTACCATAACGTCTGAAGCATATGCGATGTTTACTGTCTACAATTTCAAAAACATAATTAATTCAAGATGCCCATACAAAAAAAAAAGTAAAAAAGAATTATCAGCAATGATTAGAAAATAATCTGACCTTGTAAGTGAAGGATGAAAGATTGATATCAGAATTGGATAACTCAGAAAGCAGTTCAGTAGCTTTGGGACCTACTACATTGATCACTGTATATTTTGAAGTTACATCATTAAGTCCTACCAAATGATCTGCCGGCAAATGTCTATTTTATTGCATAAAAAAGAACGATTAAGACATTCCTATTATAGCATTTCAAGATCTGTTGGCATGAGAAGAAAAATAGAAAAAGAAAAAAATAATCCGATTTATGTAAGAGCTATCGCACATGAATCTGTAACTGTTAAAAGTTTATCCAGACAAATCCGCATTAATGCTTGACGCATATGCATAAGGAAATTAACCAATCAATGTTTAATATACAGGATGCCATATTGCTACCTTCTTCGTACTAGACGAATAATTGGTTAATTTTTGTGCTTGTGCGTCTTGCGTCTATGCAAATTTGTCTGAATAGGCCAATTATTAAATACATGCAGTTCATCCAATTATTTTCGTAAGTTATAGCGCTATATTAACTATATTAAGGCATAAGCGTTTACATCTGTCGTAGTCGTGGACGTAAAGTAAGGCAGAGAAAAACATAAATCAAGAGTTTGTTGCCGCCCGCGAACGGGAACGGACGTGTTCTGACATGTTACGCATGTGTCCTTTGTTTGGGTCTAATTTTTCAGTATTGACCTCTTTTTAAGAGGCTTTTTGTTATTCTCTACATTTCTTACTCACTACATTTGTTACTCTCTACTTGTTATTGGCCGGAATGATCTGATCATTCTCTAGATCAGAAGTTGCCATTGAAAAAAAGAAAGAAAGAAAAAGAAGAAAAATATAAATCGTGAAAGACTATTGTATAATAGCCTTACTTTACGTCCACAATTGGACAGACGTCTCGTTCTCTTCAACCTAATTATTACGTTACGTCTTATGTTTGATTGGTCGCGTTCAGCAGAGAAAACCGCTTAGTAGCAATCGAATGTGATTGGTTCTTACTTTTAGAACCAACGAATCAACGTCGAGTGTTGACAAGACGATAACTGAGTGCTTTCTCTGCTGAACGCGGCCAGTGCAAAGAAATCTTTGTCCCTTTCGTCCTAATTGGTCAATCAAACGATTCAACTTTTGTAGCATCAAACGGAACGCTTATGTGTAATAAGAAAAGAAGTAAGACATGTAAAGGCCATCACACACAAAATTCCGGAAGGACGTAAGACGTAAGCGTAAGAAAATGGACCAATCCCAATCGAGTATTTGGCTCTCCATAACCCCTCCACTTTTACGGAAAGCCCTGGTCAGAAGTATTGTAAAGTGCTATAAGCAATAGGAAATCGGAGATTAACTAATATAGAGGAAAGCAAACTATAATTAGAATAAGTTACTATTTTAATTTCATAACTCGTACACTTTTTTAAACATACCATAAGCTATTATTTATCATATAGCAAACTACAGATAATGTTTACATTTTTGTTTCTTAAATCCCAGATAGATGAAAATTATAATAAAAATGACTAAAATATTATTTGTGACATGAAATGTCACTTTGATACGAGGTAACTGGAGTAGGAATATATTTTTGGTTTAACTTGCTACTTAATACTGGTATAGGCAATGGATGGATGTGTGGTTTAGCAGGAAATCTAGTACCAGCGATATCAATTTCATAATGGGCTGTTGGATTCATTATAAAGTCTTTTGTAATAACATGTCTCTCTTGCTTAGATCTTGCTCCAGGGAGACTAATGAATCCAAGGCAAATGAGTTTCTCTGTTAGAAAACCATAGCTGAAAGAATAATAGTAAGTATAATAATGTGCCAATGAGGAGGTAATGTGAAATAAACAAGTGATAACGTAATAATGCAATGTTTAATGAAAAAGACAGATATTTACCCAGCTGATGTAACAGTACCAACAAATTCACCATTTCGATATAGTGGTTCACCACCCCATGCCCAAACATCTTTATTCAAATCCATACCATCAAGAACAAATAAAACTAATCGCTTTGTCACTCCCTGCATCTTTTGACGTTGTAAAGCAGATTTTCCAATAAAATAGTCTGGTTTCTGTACAGCATAATTATGAAATATTTAATACTAAACCCTATCTAAGCTATTTTATTTTAACTTGGCTATCTTTAATCTATTTTTCATTTCAGTATAATTATATTGTTTCTATATTTTAATCTTTTCTTTTTTTAGCAATTTTCTATTTTTCGATTTTGTATAATATAAAAAAAGAAAAAGAAACGACTACGTTTTATTAAACTAGAAGCATTCGTTTTATCTTCAAATGTATAAATGTACACAGAGAATACATGTAGTTTTTGATACTAACATTCAGTTTTACTCTGTAGCCATTTCCAGCTTCATATGGAGTCACATATGGTGTCAATTCTTCAGCCCAGAATGGAATAAATCTCTCTATCCTCATAAAACGTTGCGTAAGAACGCCAACGTCTCTTGCACCATAATCCTTTCCTATAGCCATTAAGGTTGAATAAATATGTAGCGCATATTCCGAAGGTATGTAGAGACAATAGCCAGGTTCACCCGTATGTGTAAATGCCATTACCATAACGTCTGAAGCATATGCGATGTTTACTGTCTACAATTTCAAAAACATAATTAATTCAAGATGCCCATACAAAAAAAAAAGTAAAAAAGAATTATCAGCAATGATTAGAAAATAATCTGACCTTGTAAGTGAAGGATGAAAGATTGATATCAGAATTGGATAACTCAGAAAGCAGTTCAGTAGCTTTGGGACCTACTACATTGATCACTGTATATTTTGAAGTTACATCATTAAGTCCTACCAAATGATCTGCCGGCAAATGTCTATTTTATTGCATAAAAAAGAACGATTAATTACATTAATAATAATAATAATAATAATAATAATGATAATAATATTTACATATAATGCTTAATTAAATGGACACTAATTTGGGCAATCGAAATAATAAATTTAATTCTTATAGTGGAAAATCTCTTTTTAAACAAACATTTCTCCAAACATGTTTTTTTTTTATATTGGTATTTTTGTATTAATACTTAAAACTGGATTTTTATCTGATCTCATACTTATGTGTCTTTTCATTTGAGATTATAATCAGAAGCAGAATATCATCTACCTAGACATCCATTGATAAATACGCGTCTGCTGTGATGTGGGTGAGACCATGAAATAACTATTTTCGCTTTGTCGCACTATTATACAGTCATTTTCATAACCACCTTTCTCATTTTGCATTCCTGTATGAACTATTCCGCCGACTGGTATATTAGCATCATTAGAACATAATTGTTGTAGATACTCTACTACCTCTTCATGACTAGACTGCAATAAAATCAATTATTAAAATGAAAAGATAGTTTACTCAGTGAAACCAGAAACTACACATTTTTTATCAAGTTTTAAATAGAGAACAAACTTTTCTCATAGCTGAAATTTGAAAAATGTGATTAGCATAGAACAACTCGTAACGGGTTTCTAATTTCACCGTTTTAATTGCATCATTCATTTACTTTAATTTCGATCTTTGAAAATGAGCTCATGTCTATTATTCCAACTCCTTCTCTACATGCTTGAAATTCTTCCTTCATAAAGTCAAAGAATTTTGGTTTATAGAAACTGCCTTTTGGCATAATCGGCTTTTTTTGTCCTCCTTTCAAATTTATATAATAGTTGTGAATGTCAAAAATGTTAATATTTATGTAAAAAGATTTTATTGTTAAAAAAACTTACGTCTATAAGTTGAATCAAAATAAAGTGGACGTTCATAGGCCATTTTTACGCCAAAAACTGCGCCACGTTCCTCCAAAACAGAATACAAAGGTGAACAACGTAATTTACGGGCATATTTGTATTCTGATTGATGAGGGTATAATATAGCATAATTTCGACCGACTACTTCCTTCATTCTTTGCTGTAGATATTGTTTATTATTGTGCAAATCTAGAAACCTTTGTACATTGAATGAGAGTACTTCCTGTGTGGATTCACCATTTATTATAGATTCAGCAATTTCTTTACCAATTCCACCAGCACCTTTTGAAAAAATATATAGCTAAAAATATCAAGCTTTATATATAATAAAAATATATGGTAAAAAAATTAACAAATATTAAGACATGTTTAAGAAGTATACCTTGCAATGAATTGCCATTCATTCCAACAGCAACAAAGTAATTTTTTACTTCGGGACTTTCCCCTAATATCCATCTACCATCTGGAGTAAAATTATCAGGACAATTATATATATTTGGATGTTCTACTTCTTTTAAAATTGGTAATCTATGTATAGCTTTGTCCCATAAAAGTTGCCAATGAGCTGGATCATTTTTCACATATTTCATCCAATTTTTTGGAGGAACGTGACCGCTTCCAAATGCAGGTTTTGCATTAGGTTCAAACCAGCCAAGTAAAAGTCCACCTATATGTCATTATCATTGACAGCTTTATCATCATCAATAATACATACAGTTTTAAATGTTACATATACTTTTTTATCCATCAATAATATTTAACACAATGTTAAAGATATAAGAGAAGAGATATATACCTTGCCATTCTCTCATATATGAATATGAGTCAAAATCTCGTATATATGGTAGAGATGTATCGATTTTTGATGACAAAGGCGGTATGACTGCATACAAATGTTCCGCAGGATAGGCAGGAATTCTGACAGGGGGAGTGCATCTTAATCCTAATTCACGAGCCCACTAAAATATTAACAAATAAATATATTAGATTAATTATGAATACTATTATTGTGTATTTAAAATTAATACAAACACATATTTACCATCCCAGCACAGTTAATGAAATATTCACAAGAAACAGTACCATGTTCAGTTTTAACATTTTTAACAGCCCCTTTCTCAGTCTTTACTTCTTCTATATGACAGTGCTCAATATATTGCGCTCCTCCTTGCTTTGCCAGCTTTGCCAAGACTTCACAAATTGCACTTAGATTAGCAACAGCATCTTCTGGCACCAAAATTGCTCCTTGTAGATCGTCAACACATAAGTAAGGATGTAATCTTTTCAATTCTTCTTTGCCCAAGATCTATAATATATTAATAATTTTATTGACTTGATTTTTTAATATGTTATAATGTGTGTGTGATTTATTATAATATAATTATAAACTATATAAAATACTATTACAATCTTCAATTGGTTTACTTAAGCACAACCAAATTATATTAAATCAATATAATATGCATTGTATTGTAAATTGTAAAAAATGGATTATATACTTCACAATGCAATCCAGTTGGTATATTGTAAGCCATTCTTCTTTTAAGAGCTACCATCCTATCCTTGGACTGCGCCAAATTTAGACTACCACATTGTCTCAATCCTATATTATAGCCCATATCTTGCAACTGTTGATATAATTTGATGCTGTATGCAATCAGATTTCTGCGTGAAATTGATTTAAAGAGTCCAAGTGTACCAGAACCAAAGTGTGAGGATCCGCTGCCAATCCTAGAATCAGAGAATATTTATTTAATCAATTTAACAAACTTATTGTTTCCCTAATTGTGTCAATTGCTATATATATATATGAATTTTCTTCTGCTAGATATGCAGTATTTAGCTAAAAGATAATTATGAGCTATGAAATCTGAGATATAAATTATATAAATTAGAAATAAATTTACGTGTTTTGTTCCAGAACGAGAACATCATTCCATCCATTCAGTATCAAGTGATAGGCAACTGAATTGGCGACTGTCCCCGCACCGGCGATGACAATCTGCGATTGAGACGGCAAGTGCGGAGAGTTTTCGGATGAATAACTCTTCTTGCCGGCTGACAATTTGCGTTCAGCATCTGTTGAATCTGAATATCGTAGGGAAGTATCATTTCTGTAGGTTATATATCGCGTGCCGATAGAACCCTTCGTATTTTTCTTTTCGTATGACAAACATACACATCTTGAATAGGTTCGCCTTAACATTAAACACTGGCAAAAACGATTTGCAGCAGCGAAAAGCGTGTTTTGCGACTGCCGATATTGTTAAAAAAAATTCAACCCCAATTGAGCAAAGAGAACAATAATTTAGGAAGTGCGAGATATATACCCTATACCTCGCACCTCTGTCACAAGAAGAAAAATCTTGTATTTTATAAAACTCGCGCAATCTGAAGCACGGCTTCGATGAGACATTTGAAGTGGAAATACGCTCTCTCTCTCTCTGTAATATAAGTATATTCTATTTTTTTTATAATATATATTCGTCATTTGGAATATATATTATTATTGAAATATAGCGTTATTTGGAGGTTATATATAATCAGCCCAAAAATTATATATATATAATACAGAGAGAGTTCGTATTATCATCATAAATAATAATTTCTATCTATAATAGCGAATATCTCTAAAATCTAAAAGAATATTAAATTATTTCACGTATCATATTTTATGACCAATTAATAATATAAGTTTTTATTGAAACAATGAAACTCATTATATATACATAAATATATATATTAACATAATTATACGTTTGATAAGAATCAAGATTATTTTATATCAAGAGAAGGGTTTCCTCGTTTTTTTCATTAAAAAAAATGAGAAATTGACAAATTGGCGCTATATTTTATTTATTCAATATATCGCAATATACTTTTCGAGAAATCGTCATAAAACAATGACGATATTCAAATTGATCTAAATTTTACTATCACACATAAAATATTACAAAATTAATAGTAAAAACGAGATTTGTATAAATTATATATATTTTCTGTTATTCCGCTTTTGCTGTAAAATGTGTGTGTGGACAATCTTAAACTTTTATAACTTAAAGATATTATGCATTTTTACTTTCGTCGAATTATGCATTATGGCATTCTTGATACTTTTGGTGAGAAAATATCATTTTTTATCTTACTTAGAATCAATTTCCAATTATATGTTTATTTCAGCATAATACTGAAATTATGGAGTTGAAAAAGCATGTGAGTATTCAGATTTTTATATTAAACTCTTCAGAAAATTATATATATATATATATATAAATCGTTTTCTTTTCTCTAGATTTTAACCATAAAGGTATCGTCTATCAATGGTTTCTTCGGAAATCAGTTATAATTAAAAAAATCTATATATATCAAACATAATATATGTGCGTTATAAAGAGATAGAAAAAGTATTTATACATTCTCATCATCAAGATAATTCTAATACAAAAGATGTTAACTTTTTTTTCTAAATCGCACACATAAATGTATTTTTTATATATGATATGTGAATTGGAACAATTAAATTTTATAAATTCAGTTTCAACGATCCCGAGATGAAATAAAAAATGTAGAAAATGTTTTATCAGACGTTGAAAACAAGACTCTGTTCTGTCGAGATCGATACAAATCTATAATAGCAGGATTGAAGAAAGACGTTCATAAAACGGAAGTAGAGGTTTGACTCTTAAATAAATAGAATTAAACTAACGAATGTGTATTTTCAATGAAATCAAATGTATCAATAGATGAAGATGTTGATGGACCATGTTTCTAGATTGTGTTTCCAACGAGAAGAGCTTACTAGGAACGAAATATTAAAAGTGCGAATCATTCAACTAATGTTTGGAACAATAGATTGATTTTATGATCGTACGAAACATAAAAATACTGATTACTGCTAACATCTTAACTGTTTGCTGGGTGTCCTGTATAATGTAAAAATGCAAGTAAAAAGTGTTATTCAATATATTTAAATTTTACTATGTTTTTTTAGCAAGACAAAGACTGTCATAGAATACTCAATATCTTCGCTATAAAGATGTAGAGAAAAAAAAATAATACTCTGTATGTTATCGCTAATGAATCTTCTTTTTAACGGTTTATTCAAAAATATAATATCGTATTTATTTCAGTCATGATTCGAACAAAGAAAAATACAACAATTTGAACGGTCTTTACATGTAATTACATATATCTATGCTATTGAATAAAATGTTGAAATGTTGATTTAATTTTATATTTTTATCTTTTATTCATACATTACATATATAGTGACATTTAATTTAGGAAGAACTTATTAGTATTTAACATATCGCCCTAGTGAGATTATAGCAATTAATTATATAGCATAGAAGTGAAAATTTTTTAAAAAAATTTAGCTCAATATACTATGTATTTTTTATATTAATATTTGAGATAATATGTCTGATTTATTTCTAATTCAATCGAAGTTTCAAATTATAGTGACTAGTTAACTAAATTGGTTTATACATGCCCATATTTATAATCTAATGAATAATATTATCAAATACACATATAGTAGAACATTTAATTCATAAGTTTTTTAAGGCACTTAGTTATTTATGATCCCCAAAAAATTTATCAGGTCTTTTATCACTACAAATTCTATCTATCTGAATAGATAAAATAAATATCTCTTTCTGAAATTTATATTGCATTTTACTTCTCCAGAAATATATTATTCGTCATTTACATCTTTCAATTCTTTTGGATGTTAGAAATAAATTTCACTGGCGATCAAATTTGTTCACATACTGACAAAGCATAGCATTAATATTTTAACCTGAATTAAATTTGAGATATCTTCCTAAAATTCGGTAGTCAATAATTAAATAATATCTGGTATTTCTTATTCAATTATCAGATGTTTTTTTTTTTAATTTTTAATAAAGCTTCTTTGATCGATCTGGCGATGATTATCTCTTAAAAAAATATCGAAGAAAGTTTATCATACTTTTTAAATCCTTAACATTACATATTTTTGTAAGTTTCAAATTAAAATTCTATATCAAGTAAACCGTGAAATTAATTAATCAATATGACATTGTCATCTATTTCTTTTTATTAACTTAGACTCGCTAGTTCTTTATCTTCAATTGTTAATCATTTGAAAACTTCGACCATTTTTATGAGAAAAAAATCTATTACTAATCGATTGAAAAAATTGTACATGAATAATGAAAAAAACATCTGTTGTTTTTGGAACTGTCCGCATTTTATATTATCTGATTAAAGGAGAAAAATTAAAGGAGGCCGTTCTTTGAATTTTTAATAAAATTCTTGTATGAAAGTTACAAGTTTGATTTTTTCTTCTCATTATTATACACTTTATAGTTCCGTATGTTGGGACGGGAATTTCTTCAGCACTGCGAGATAAAGATTATAGAAGGCGTAAAAGCTCACGCTCAAAATTACTAAGAGGACTGATCCGAAAATCCAGCCCAAGAAATTGCCGTCTATTATGTCGGAAGCGTCTTTTCTTTTTCGGGCGCTAATTTCTCCCAGTGTCGTGCCCTTTCGCTCTTCCATAAGCTTTTTCATATTAGCGAGCTTCTCTCGCAATTCATCCACTGATTCGGCAATCTCCTCGATTGACTCTTCAGCGGGTAGATCTGTAACTTATGCAAGTATGATATTATCGCGCGGAGACAAGCCATTTTTGATTAAGCAAACATATGAATAATTATATATAATTAAAGACTATATACAGGGTGTATTCTAAAAAGTGAGAAGTATTGCAATGAGAGATTCAGGACACAAAAATAAGAGAAAAAATTCATATAAACATATGTCCGATATGACCTTGTTTCCGAGTTACAGCCTGTTTTATTTTCTAATATTTCCAACTTTTCCGCATACAAAAGTCTAATTCTGACGACATTACCATCGGAAAATCCTATATTCCGATATATGAGATGTATGTCTGCCATTTAATTGTTTGACCAAGCCATAATTTTTTTAAACGTAGACTATTGCGTTAATAACGCTAACGTACGATACGAATACTTTACTTTCACTGAGCACAAGATACGAACCGTACTACTTACAATACAAATAATACGTGTTTATGTTTACAAATTAACAAGACCTTAAGTCCTTTAAATCTTGTATATAAACAGCAAACCGATATCCAAGTATGCTATCTTAACTCTATTGGAAAATAAAACAAGCTATAATTTGAAAACAAGGTCATATCACATATGTTTATATGAACTTTTTCTCTTATTTTTGTGTCCTGAATCCCCCATTGCAATACTTCCCACTTTTTAGGATACACCCTGTATATGTGTCAGTGTGTGTAATAGTCGTATACAAAACATTGAAAAACAATTTTTCTTGAGATACTTATTAATTCTATCTTTCGACTTTTCTTAATTCGATATATTAAAAGTTATATAAACACATTTTTTTCCGATAAAACAAAAAAAAAATTATAGGATTTATTTAGATAAAAATTATGCTATTTTTTTAAAAAAATTAGTGTTAATATCGAACATCTATATTATAATATATATCTCGTCTCAAATGATGTAATTTTCGATTACTCCCTTTTACGGAATTTTATGCGGAGCGATGTTCGAGGTTGGTAACGCTTCAAGTAATTGATCATTTTCATTCTTTAATAACTTTCTAACGTTTAAATAATCGGAAATATATATAAAATAATATTAAAGGTCGAAAAATACACTCACCGGCAATGTCTGGCACGCAAGTATGTGGCATGGTTTTCATGATCCTCTGTTAGACGATGCGTCCTGCTTTCTTGATTCCGATCTTTGGTCCAAAATGTGACAGTATTGATCATCCAGCATCCCGCGACATAGCGCAGTCTCTGTTCCCAATACAGTGGAGATAGCGACGTGCAAGTATTAGGTTTTCCACTGACAAAGAAAGTTAGAGAGACAACACATGTAAGGATTCGGAAATCCTATCCTACCCGTAGAGTAACGTTTGACTATTAAGACAAAAAGAGCAAAGATTTCTTTATCCTGATGGATCAATTAAATGCTACTCTACTCCAGATAAGATTTCCGAATGCATCCTAAAACGAGTCTTTGTTTCTTTCTAACTAAAGAAAGGATAGTCAAAACCACTGATTGTGAGCAGAAGACGCGAATGAATGAGAATAAGAGATTCGTCTTATTATATTTCCTCTTTTATTTATTTTATTCTCACTAATATTGCAAAATATTAATTGTAATAATAATTGTAAGCAATGAGGTCGCTCGGTCTATTTTTATTACATACTTATATGTTTACGCTTACAATCTATCTTTTTTTTCACATGATACACAAGCAGGGTTATGTTGTTTATACTTATTTATATTACATGAATTACATTCATCGTTTTTCATATGTTTTATCTCCATTTATTATATCAATATATTTACTGTAAATATAAAATATATATGTACTCAATTTCTCTCCCCTATTCACTGGTATTTATCCAGTTAGATTTGTTACTGTTCAATTGTTAGTAATATTTGCCAGCATAAAAATACAAGCAATATAATCTTTACTAAAGCTTAATTATTAACTTCAATAACTTCTTTTTTTTTCAAAAACTGCTTGAGAAGCTAAACACTGCAGACTTATATTAAAAAATTAATTTAGTTATTTAAGCAAGATATATGATATAATATTATGTATATCGTGGTAATAATATGTAATTTACATTTATCTAAAAATGTCCTGTATCTTTGATTTCAATGTCACTTCTAATATCACTTTACGATGCCCATGCTTCCAATTCTTTTAAATCATCATCTTCTTCTGGTTTAGTTTCTAAAAATAAAATTACAATATTTTATATTGTAATGCCACAATACCATAAATTATAGTAATACTTATTGCTACTTTGTGTTAAATTGGTTAAAATCTTTCTAAACTGTAACAATATGCCTTATAGAAGAATAATAGTTACTTGTGCGGGTTTTGTTTGGTGCAACAGGAACGGAAGTTGGCACTGCTGGCAGTTCATCTGTTGTTGTATCAATACCGAGTAATTCTTTGTCAAGCTGTTCTTGTTGAAGCTCCTCCAACTCTTTTTCTAGTTCATCCTCATCGGCATCTTGGCCAAATGCTACTGGATTAGATATGGCATCAGAAATTTCTCTGGCCACATCTTGTTGTTCCGCTATGTCATCCATCATATCATGCACTTGGTCAACATCCCTGAAATAAAAATAAAAAATAATTATACTCTAATCTGGATAGGCGCATAAATTATTATATGATTGTCAAAATATACAATTGTTACTTATTACACTATTTTAGATATGATACATATGATAATTATATAAATGAAAAAATATCTTACATATGCTGATGCGCAGCCTTCATTGCATCTGCAGCACCCTTCATGGTGGTAAGAACAGCAGTATTTGTGTTTGCACTCTCCAGTGCTTCTCTTTGCATTTCAATTGTAGATAGCGTACCATCAATTTGCTGTAACTGCTTTTCATATCGCTTTTTTCTCTTCAATGCTTGGATAGCAGCTAAAAAAGATATGTTAGCGCTCAATCAAATTATTGTTCATACCATGACAAGTTAAATTATTTACACAACTATGTAAGACTATACAGATATTAGTCGGACGCAAAGTAGATGATCATAATTCAGCACAATAGTGAATTACGAATGAAATGAACTGACAATGTATAAATATTGTCACGCGATGACAGTTGAACTGTAAAATCTAATTTAAAATCCACGAAACGAGACTCGACTTGCAGAAAGAGCGAAATTATTACCTCGCTTATTTTTCGACGCGTTCTTCTTTGCTATCAACACTTCATTATCTATTTTAGTCTCTAAAAATTCCTGTTTCTTTATTAACATATCCTCCGTCTCGCGCAGTTTCTGAATCGCCTCGGCCGTTGAAGGAGCAGCTGCCTCCTTCTTGCCGCCGAACACTTTGGTGAAGAAACTCATCGTATTGTGCTTTTTTCAATCTATTGAATATTTAATTATTATTCCCGATCGTAAGAAACACGAGCATGTACTTCGAAATCGAAACCGAAAATTCATCCACTTCTACGACACCACGGTCGCCATCTCCTTTTCGCGTTTGACTTGTGCAGTTGCATACGTCACATAGATATATTCCTTTTAACTACGCAATCTGACACTCTCTACACTTAAAATGAAATAAATACACATCCATGCGTCAGAGAGAAAAAGAGAGAATTGTAAGAAAGTACAGAGAAAATGCAAGTAAGAACATACTCTGTTCGTGACTCATGGTGTAGTACATATATATACATATATATGTCACTGCTTTGAACTTTAATCTAAAAACTTTCGATTATATTCTTTTTACAAAATATTTCTAAAAAAAAGAATTCATGAAATCTTAATAAAAGTCACTCTAGATTTTAAATCGCATTGAATATATAAAAAATATCATATACTTTTCCCAAATTAAAATTTGAAAACTGGTCAAAGATGTATGAAGTAAATTTCAATATAAAAGAAGAAAGTGCTGAAATTTTAAAAGTATATATATTAAACTTTAGTTCATTTAGCATTTTATTTCCTAAATTTTGAGCACATATTTATTCTCTGGTTGCATGTATCATTTCATTAAAACCTTTAAAAATTATATAGGTTAATATTAGTAACGGATTTTTATAGAGCCGTATCACATATGCAAATATAAATATGTACTAACAATAAATATACACACATATACAGAATAATGAGATATTTTGTAATGCTTTGTTTTGAGTGAGAATCTGAAATACATCAAATATAAAAATAATAAATTATCATAAATTTCTTTGTTATGAGAACAGTAAATCATGTTTGTATAAAACTTATAATTCTTCAAAAGTCTTATCTGCATTTAGCACAAACCTGCATTAATTTTTCTTTTATATCTTATAAAAAAAAAGTGATAAAAGAATTTGTTATTATTCCAGGAGAAGAAATAACAGGGTATTTTATATACAAGACAATAGCAGTATACATAATGGTTTGCGCAAATTCTAATGCGCACTTTCTTTAATTTATTGACAAGAACAGGAAAAAAATCCTATGACTTTTCCTTTGTACTGAACAATTGTACAGAATATAAGAATATAAGAGGTTTTGATCTCGTTTAGTAAGATGAGAAAACAAATATATTTGTATTAACACTTTGTGTTTTACTCAGGATTACTGCTTGCAATAATTAATAACAATCACTTTCAATATTTCTCATTTATGGGAAACTGATTGTATTAAAGTTCAGTACAATGTCTCTTATGTATGAGTTTTGACATAAGAGTAAAAATTAATCAGCTAGTAATATGCATGTTAAATATTGTGGAAATAATAATATTATATTTTCTTCCCAGATATAGGGCTCCAACTTCTTCAAAATCAGATAAGAGATTGGATATTGAACACTTATTTGAACTTTGTTCACACATTACAATATAATTTGTACCATTTTAATGTCTAGTTTGATTAACTGAACAGTAATTTACGATTTTTCTTCTATAGTATCACGAATATTAAGTTCATAACTTAAACACATAATAATGGACTATATAGAATAGTCCAGCAGTTAATTGAGAAATGCATTAATAAGCCATTGTAATGGTTATTCGATAACCAGTAAATCGGAATAATTATATCTGCAACCAGCTGCTTAGAAAGAATTACATTACATTATCAATATGTTCTTACACTAGACATGCATTTTGCTGCCTTCAACAATCTCATATATGTAACAGCGACAATTTAAGCGTTTTTGCATCTTTTAAATCATTCCAATAATGCATTGTTCAATTTTTACTAAAATAAGTTGCAAACACAATATTTATTATTTATAAAATATTGGTCATTCTTATATAACCAATTCTGCTGATTCTTATTACATAATTACAAATGTATTACATTATGAGATTATTGATCAATGATCCCTATCACCATTTTGTACGATAAGGCTACTCTGTAGATTTAATAGTATATAACGGATGTTGGTTATATATAAATGGCGTCTTTCTTGCAGCAACACGAAAGAACAATTTCAAATGTCGTGTTTAAATAATATATAATCTTAAATATTATACATATTGTGCTTCTTGGGCGTGCATCTTGACATTTGTCATAAATCGTTAATAATATATAATAAATGCGTTAAATCAGTTAGAAAGGTACAAATTGTTAGAAGAATTTTAACAGTAAAAATGATGTAATTTATTATCTTTACAAGAAAATTTAAACTGTTTCACGGTTTAATATTTTAATATTTTCTGGTTGAGATTCAGTCTTATAAACAAAAGAAGGTATCCATACATTTTTAAAAAAAAGCAATCTAATCTTACATAGAGAGAAATTATCTTATCTTATATTACATTTTTGCATTATTGGGTATAGAAGCAACCCCTTTTTAATTAAATTATGACTACAACTGACAACTTAAATTTTTATTTTGACCATTCACGAAAAATGGAAGCTGTGAATATATTTTTTTTTTTTTCAAAATATGTACGTTTCTGACAAATGTTAGGAAAGAGATTTTGCCTTTCTTTTTCTTCATATAAGAAAAACGTTATTTGACATTCTATGTGCAATAGACAAGGCATTTCTTCAAGAATATTTTAGACATTTTAAATCTAAAATGGTTAGAATTTATGTATTGCATATATATATATAATACAATAAAATACAAATCATCGATGAAAAATCCTGTAAAATAATGTGATCTAGTATAAATATAAAATAACGGCAGTAAATCGATGGAATACACGCATTTTTTTTTACGCATCTTCTTTCTATACACACAATCTATGCTGGAATGAGCGAAGAAATAGTTCAAAGTTACCAATAAATTAAATACCAAAAATCTGGATGCAGGATGCTCTCATGAAACTTTAGAAAGGCAAAGTCTTTTACAAAATGCATACATTACTTATATAATGCTCATCGATCGGCGGTAGCGTTTTCTAGTATTAGTTATAACAACAGGAACCGATACAGGGGCGGGAGGGGTTACAGGTGTAACTGGCGTTACCGGTGTAAGAGGAGTTAGAGGAGTTTCAGCCATTTGGGCTGAAGAGGGGGGCCTGAGCTACCAAATGTAATTCTCAGTTTGTGGGGCTCGCATTACTCCCACGCCTCCGCCAAGTCTCCTGTAATTCATACAACCGCATAGCTTCCATTGATTCTGTTCCGGATCGTATACTTCGATTGTTTTCAGATACGCAGTTCCGTCGAATCCGCCCACCGCGTACAATTGACCATTTACTACCGCCAAACCCACCTGAGATTCATGAAGACAACTATTAATATTTATGTATTTACTGTTGTACATAGTTATACCCCATGAATTATAAAGTAATTCAAATACATTAATAGTTCATTCGCAAACAAATTGTGCAATACATACATTTTTATATTTTAATATATCTGTAATAAACAAAAAAAATGAACTTACTCCACTTCTCCTAGATGTCATCGCTACTATAGGACTCCAAGAATTCGTATGGGGATTGTAACGTTCCGCACTGGAGAGCTCCATACAATCGTCTCGTCCTCCCACAGCATAAATTAGATTATTAAATACAGCACAGCCTAAATGCTTACGTCTTGTAGACATCGGTGACACTTGTGACCATTTATTTTGTCTCGGATCATATCTTTCTACCGTGTTGAGAGGTGATTGTCCATCAGACCCGCCGATGGCATATAAATAACCTCCGAGCACAGCAACCGCCACTCCTAATCTTCTGGTAGTCATTGGTGACACTTTAGACCATTTATTTTCTTTAGGATCGTATCTGCAAAAAATTATACATTAGCATTATTTTACATATTTATATGTTAAATGTTTATTGGAAAATCATTAATACAGATACTTGCCTTTCCACATGATTAAGGCATTGCACTCCATCCTGGCCACCAACTGCATACAGAAATCCATCTAACACAGCGACACCCACACTGGTTCTGCAGGAAGTGGTAGGGGCAACATCACAAGACCACTGATTCGTTTGTGGATCGTATCGTTCAATGCTATTTAAGTAGCTTTGTCCGTCGTGTCCGCCGACCGCGTACAACAAATCATTTAATACCGCTACACCCACTCCGCATCTTCGTTTGCTCATAGGTGCGACCATTTTCCAATCAGCAGTATTAGGGTCAAATCTTTCGACGCTAGCGATAGCATCACCAGAACACCATCCACCAACGGCGAACAACACCTCTCCTCGTCTCGTAGGTTTTCTGGGTCTTGTTCTAGGTCCTTGCATCAACGGTCTTTCTTGCGGCAAAAGCAAATAATTCTTCGCTTCGTCCACCAAGTCTCTACAAGCATCATCAGAACGAACTAACAGATCAGACCCGACGGTACCGACTAGAAATTTCGGACTAAGTAGCGGCAATCGCACATGCTGCAGAACTTGAGATAGATGTTGTCGTCTCTCCGTGACATTATATTTGACCCAATTCATCACGGCGCTAAATACTTGCTCCTCCGTACGTACATTTAATTCGTCCGATGAAATAATGTCCACCAATTGGCCAACAGGTAGTAACAAAAATTCCTCGCTCTCCATTACCTGAAAAGTATATAAACTCGTAAAATCATAAGTATTTCCAAATTCGAATTTAATTAATGTTTACTTTTCTTGCACATACCTCTTGAAAATTATGTTGAGTGAACTTGTCGGCAATACGCAGAAGTTCGCGGCACGAATGGGTATCCGCAAATGCTCGGATACCCAAGCAATTTGACGGATCTAATTGGCGTTTAAGAAATTCGCAACATATATCTTGAATTTCTGCTAATTGAAGAAGGCACGCTGCTGGAAGGAGAGTTTGAACATTTGCTTCTTCGACGATAATGTGAGAAGTGTAACAAAAGTCTATGAGTAATTCCATAGCCATCTCGTCTATATCGCGTATTGTTACTTCAGTTTGTCTAGATTCCGCCAACTCCCCAGTAAACATTGCCCTAAAGATAAAAATTTAATTTGTATGTGTGTTACAAAATTACATAGATTCTTGCCATAGCTCTTGAATAATAAAAAAATATTAATTGCGTATAACATTACCTGAAGTATGGACTACATGCTGAGAGAATGACACGATGTGCAAATATTTTTCTGGAGCCAA